TGGCTCAGGACACATTCAGGACTTTGCCCACTGACTTCCACAGAAAGAGCTCTTGTAAAGTCTAGAGAGCCAAAGCCATGTTGTGTTCCAGAGATGCTCTCCACTCATCTTCTTTCAGGAGCTTTCATTCTATAATGCCAATGGGTTCGTGCTTGCTACTCAGTTTTGCAAAACTAAACAATATATTGTGTAAGCATACACCAGTAGTTTTCAAAACTGTAAGAAAAAGCATTGGAATGATTTCTGTAAAAGTCAAAACAGTGGCAACCTATAATGAGAAAAAAGTGTCTGGGGGAAAAAGGAACAGCTTCTTTAGTACTAAATAACTTTCTATTTTTTGAACTCTGAGGGTGGTGGTTAGGAGTGTTATGTGTATTTATATTATGCTTTAAACTATGTATATTTGTACACATTCTTCTGTGAGTGAGATGTTTCATAAGTTTTTAACACCTTCCTCCAATAATTGTGGAACTGAGTTTCATTTATTTACTGTCTTACAATCAGCATGTATTTCCTAGAAACTGCTCACTATTTTCTTCTAGTGTATTTTGAAAGTTAACACAAAATTCAAAACCTTAAATATATACAAAGGAGGGTATAAAAGTAAACATACAGTAATCCATACTATGTCACCCTGAAATATCCTTATATGTGAAGATAAAATAATAAAGAGTGTCTGAGAAGGCTATTAAATATTGAGATAATCTCCAATTAGGACTTAATAAATTTGAAAATTGATGTAATTCAGATATTATCTAAGCTAAGGTTGACTTAACACATGAAAAAAGAATTTCTTTAACTAAAATAAATCAGAATGGTGTGAATTCCATGCAGGAGAAATATTCAGTGGACATAAAAAGAAGATTCTAATAAATACCAATGTTCATCTGTAAATTATTACTATAATTGTAAAAAGGCTTTCCAGTTTCTAACTTAATTTATAAGTCTGTATATTTAGTCTATAATCTGAACACTTTATTAATTTAGACATGACTTTCAATATGATTTAATGAGCCTTTACTATATTTTAAAACGTAATCTATGATCACACTCTTTAAAAAAAGAGTAAAAACAAAGAATAAAAGAGTAAAAACAATGAAATTGACTAAATTATTGGCTTTTAAACTATTAGGCTTTTAGGTAATTCATCAAGTTGAATAAAATAAATGGACTTAGGTCCATCCACAACCTCTCATTGTTAAGTTGTGCTTTGAACCATTTAGGTTAAAAAAAAAAAAGACTTTCGTCAGGGAGCTGCTAACAACAGCAGCACATTAATCAACTAGCACTATCCAAGTTCGGCTATTTCATGTCCCCATCTTAAACTTCTTTCAAAAATAAGAATGCAAAAATTTCACAGTTTAAGTTATCTGAGATAGTGTGCCTTTAAAATAATCCTATCCAAAAATGTATTAAAGTGATATGTCTTTGAATAGAAAATAAAAATGTAACATCATTAATTTAGTGATAGCTCAAATTAAAAGGAAAAACAGTGAAGCAAATATATTTGCAAGGTGAAAAGACTGCTTATAAAAGAAGTTCTTATAGTAAATTTGATTCATTTGCACATAAAAAATTTATAATTTTATGCACAAATGATCTCTTTAATGCTCTATTCAGTAAGAGCATATTACAGTCCTGAACTTTAGAGTCATAAGAAAAAGACTTTCATGAAACAATACAAAAGGAGGTTCGTAGTGTTTAATCATTACTAAAATATCCTGGTGGCAGACGAAACGCTGTAACCTTTCTTCAATCAAAACCCACAGGGCAGTGATGAACTGTAAGAGCAGCGCGATTAGCAGCTGCGGGGTTCCCAGGCCAGACAATGCAGCTCCCGCCCGGTACTCACTGTCCCTGACCTGCCTGACTGTCCTCGCTTACGAGACTGAAGAGATCCAGACTGGACATTTTAATTTTGCCACACCATCTAAAACCCTCAAAGAGAGGGAGAAAGATAAGAGCTTTCAAAGACCAATGTTTCCTGGTATACTACCCTCGTTTTTGAGATACTCTGAATCACAATGTACCATTATGACAAAACAGTAATTTAATTTGTAACAAAGAATGCCCTCAAGTATTAGAAGTGAAATAGGAAAAAAAAAATAGGGATATATTTTATTGTTTTATTTGTAATAACAGAAAAAAATAATGTAAAGAGATAATTTTTAGCTCAATTTTCAAGGATACATGACCACCATGTGGTAAACATATTCCTGTAAATCAGAGGGGAAAAATTATTCTACCAATCAATAGTCTGAATTAATCTTAATGTAACTCCTATATCATCTGTAGGCTCAAAAGCATCAAAATACATTTTATAATGTAAAGACAGAGCATTTCTTCCCACTTTGCTACCTTTTATGGACCCCCTCAACAAGATTGTCAATATACCAGAGTTATTAAATTAGCTTTAATACTGTTTCAAATAGTGAAATAATTATGATTAAATTTTAAAATTAAAAAAATTATTATTTTTATTGGTCATTGAAGACCAAGCATTAAAACTAAAATTTAATAAGCAGTATTGTATAGAATTAGGAAGATCATTTGTTTGGTAGTCAGAAAGACTTAAGTTTTAATCTTCATTCTTAGTATGTTTTTAGAGCTAAGAAAATGTGGTAAAATATTAGCTCATGGTGGACTGTGCTGAAGTCCCTAAAATTTAACTAATTATAAATCACTTACTTGATTTTTTTAAAACAAAGTTCAGATAAAAACATAAGGCAGTATTATCCAGTTAATTTAACAGTTTATTCAAATTATAACCTATTCAAAATCTCCAAGAAATTAGTTAGTATAACTTATTTAAGAGACTGTTTATTTTGTTTCTTTTTACCAATTCAAATTCTTAACAAACATTGTCCATTTTAGGGTTAAGCACAGACACACAGTCAATAAACATTCACTGAGCACCTACTATGTGCAAGGTACATGAGATACAGAGATATTGATACTATGTGCAAGACATATGGAATACAATACCATTCCTTGAGAAGATCACAATCTAAGATGACAAAGACAGATTTAAATAGAAGGTAGTAGGGTTCATAATCAAAATATATAAAAGTAGAGAGATGGTCGATGCCTTCAAAAGTCAATTTTAAGTCAATAAACAGCCAGTTAAAAATGGCGCTGTTAATATACATTCAACCCTTTGTATCGTGAGTTCCATATCTGTGGGTTCAAACTGTGAAAAAATATTCAGGGAGAGGGGGGAAGCAAGTTATGTTGTTGCTAACGTGTACTACGTAGTTAGGCCTACCACTGTTGCCTCTGTATTTAACATGTATAGACATTTTTTTCTTGTTATTATTCCCTAAATACTGTACAACTATTTACATGGCACTCACATTTTATTAGGTATTGTAAGTAATCTTCACAGACGATTTAAAGTATGTGGAAGAATGTGCAGAAAGTATGTGGTTATGTACAAATACTTTCATATAAGGGACTTGAGCACCCGGGGATTTCGGCATCCTCGAGGGGTTCTGGAACTGATTCTTTGCAGATCCTGATGGACGACTGTACACTGTTTGCTAATATCGGGGAGAGACTAATTTTTAAGACAATTTCAAAGAAACAAACTCTCTCCTCACTGAAAACTGCTCAGTAGGACTAAAGAAACATGGTAAGGTTACAATTCAAACAAAGTAGGAACAAATAAATAAATAAATAAAGGAGGGTCCACCCTGCCTAGTAGCATAGTACCATCTACCACAAGCACATGAGCGCTTATTTTCACATGGTTGATTTCCTACATATTAATATATAGATTAAAAAGTGTATTCACCTTGAAGGGGAAATAGCATTTCACCCATTATGACAATTATGATTGATAAGAACTGCCTACAGTGCTATGTTGAGAATGATGCTGAGACAGAATCCAGACTCAGCAGAACTGTTATGAATAATTAGCAATGTCTGCTATGAATAAGAAAGGGGAGAAATGGAGGATATGTTCTATGTATTTGACATCTATAGTATCTTGAATTTTCTTTGAAAAAAATTGTATCCTATTTGTACAGGGCCCCCACAAAAAAGTTGAATTTAACTAGTTTAATATTAAAGTCAACAAACAAACAATCAATTAAGAGACTGGATTACAATAAACACTGTTTAGGGAATCCATCCAGTCCATAAACCATTCCTTCTTTCCTGAGAAACATCCCCTGATCCAGGACACAGGGACCCCAGTCCCCCAGCCACAGTGCCTGATCCCTGACTGCACCCTAATGTAATGTGGGATAGTGAAGTTTCTCTCCCTTGGGAATTTAGAATTGGGATTCACAAATAGCCAGTTTTGTTTTCACGTATGTACAACTGCAGCATGCAAACTATGGTGGTCATGGGCTACCACTCAGCCAGAGAAGCAGAGAAACTATTCAGTCTGCAGAGAGATGAGTAAAGAAAACCTACAGAGCCAGAAAACTAGGCAAATAAGAACACTTTCTGGATTCTTGAGAATCTTCCTATCCCAGCTAAATCCCCCTTCACCTGGATTCTTAGATCCCTTTTCTTTATTTAAGTTAGTTTGAATTGGTTTCTGTGATTTAGAGCCAAAGGCCATTAACTAATAAAGCATAATAGGGGTTGTGAGAGAGTGAAAGAAAATAATCTTATAGAAAAGTCAAAAAAGAGAGAAGAATAAATAGAATAACTAAGAAAAAATTAAGTGACTTCTCAACCGCACATTAAAATTACGGTAGAAGTTAATTCCTTCAGTTTGTATCCTCTTTTTAAAGGGTATATGTGATAAAGATAAAGAAACCTGGCCTTTGCCCTGACTAGTGTGGTTCAGCTGGTTGGGCATCATCCCAGTTCCATTCCTGGTCAGGGCACAAGCCTGGGTTGTGGGTTCAGTTCCATCTGAGCACATATGAGAGGCACCTGATGTTTCTCTCTCACATCAATGTTTCTCTCCCTCTTTCTCCCTCCCTTTCCCTTTCTCCAAAAATAAATAAATAAAAACCTTAAAAAAAAAAAGAAAGAAACCTGACCTTTGTTTCTTCTGTCCTCACGGCATCCAGCAGATAATGCAGAAGCTCCTGACTGTCCTGTTGTTGAAAACTTTTAAATCGAGGGGCCCTGTGATTTAAAAACAAAACAGGAAAGAAAAAAAAGAATGATCATCTCATCGACAATATATTAGTAATATTTAAAATCACTTTGAAATAACATAGTTAACGATTAAATTTACTTCTTTTTCCACTAAGTCAAAAGACAAAATGTGATTACTATTCCAATTAAGATGAGATCTTAAGCGTATTGAGAACAATATAACTATCATTTATCAGGCAACTACTACATACCAACCACATACATTAAGTTTTACATATGTAAAAGTCACACAATCCTCAAACAAGGGTGGGATTCACTATTTTCTTCAGTTTCTGCATAAGGGCTCAGAGGGATTATTTAAATAATTTGCAAGGTCACAGAGCAAGCAAAAAACAGTATTCAAAACTAAGCCACTGTTATTACATTTCTACCTCAAAATAACCAAAAGAAAAGCAAATGATATTTATATAAAAATAAAGAACTATAAACTGGTGTCTCTGTGAATGTATTTATTTTGAAGATTTGACAGACTTTCTGTGTCTTAATTTTAAAAATCAGGTGCTATTCATAGAGACATCCACACAATAAATGCATACTTGATTTCAGTAACTTTAAAAAGTAATATTCCCAGCAATAAGCTCTAAGGCTAAATGAACATTTTTTCCTAAATGCAAACAAGTTCTAAATTTAGAAAGTACTGTGATCTAAGATGAAGAAAAAATTTTGTCAACATAACACAAAATACTAAGAATATTTTATGTAGTACAAGCAAGTTTAAAATGGTTTCATTATGGTATCGTACAGCACACAACATACTCACTTGATATATACAACAGTGCCATTAAGGAATTCATAATTAACATGAACTATGAACTCCATTTTATACTTGAGAAAACTAAAAACAAGCTGAGTGCCACTGACATAAATCCAGGTCTTCTGGTTCTTAAGTTCAGTACTTTAGCATTATGCCTCATTATCTCAGGATAAACAGTCATCCTAGTAATGCATTAATGTGAGACTCTGGTGCTAGAAAGCTATCTGAACTAGTAGTGACTCTAGCCTGAATTAATAGGAACTATCATTTCAGTTACTACTATTCAGTCTTGCTAAGCAGCAGCAAACAGCAGCACGATGTTAAGAACACTTTCATTTACTCCCCAGGGGGGCTTCCCTTTCTACACGTGGTAGGGTGTCCATCTCCTAGATCAAAGACAAGGACAGAAACCAAGACAGATACAAATTCCAACCCTATTTGGGCTTCCATAGCTGGAACCCAGGAAAGGCAGAAATTGTACAACACTACACTTATGCTGAAGGTATCAGAAAAGGTCAGTGGAGTCGAAGAAGACTGCAGCGGAAGCAAGGGAATCCTTCAGAGCACCTCACCAGCCCAGTGCCAGGTAGGAGGAGGCAAGGCTTTCAAAGCAGACACACAGGAAGGACATCAGTCCTGACCAAAGAAGGGCTTCCCCACCAAGACTCTGCCTATAGCTCCATCTCAGCCAGGCACAAAGCACTTAATTGTCTTCCAAACCATTGAATAAACTTAATAAGCCCGGATTCTTCTCTTTCTACCCTTACCTAGGATGGGGGGAAAATCATATGATGACTTAGAGAAGCTCTAATGGAGATTCTGAGATACCAATACCAAAAGGGACCTTCAAGCTTAAAGGATGAAAAAAAAGAAAAATCACCAAATATATGAAAAGATCCACCCCATTCAAAATAAGGGAAACTCTATACAGTTACAGGAAATGTGCCTTAGTAAAAGTGTTTCTGTGGGAAAGAGGAGGGAACTTTAAAAACCTCAACTTGTAAGAGAAAAATATATGCACACACTTAAAACAGGAATAGACTGTCGAGAAAAAGAAATTTTCCTTTGGGTGAAGACGAATCAGTCCATTCATTATCCAGAAATGCTCTCAACTCAAACACAACAAATATAAAAAGAGGAAACAAAAAAGGGCTTAAGTGAAAATCAATATTAAGGAAAAAAAAAGACCCACAAAGCGAAAATAGAATTTAAAAAACAAGACAAAAAAACAGAACAGATTTTATGGACTGCGGTCTGAATAGCCTCAGCCCTGAGGGTGAAGAAAGCTAAAAGCACTAACATCAGACAGGGACCCCCAGGCTCTTGTTTAAGGATGGTTAGTCTTCCCAAGAGCCTGAAAGGAAGCCTTTAGGCAGATGTTGCCTGAGGCCACAACAGAACAGTCTAGGGACCTGCAGCTGACCCAGACCTTCCACAGGCTCTCCTCACATCCCCAAAACCAAAGTAGCAGGCAGGTAACTGTGAACCATTAAGAGACCTGGATCTCCAAGGCCAGTCTGTAGGGCAGGCATGAGGCTATCTTAACATTTTAAATTTTTAGGCAGTGAGGATCGAAGTAGGAAGAAGGAGAGGTGATGGGAGTGGAGGGGAAGCAAGGAGGGGCAGAGGACATGGAGGCTGGCAAGGGAAGCAAAGGTGCTTGAGGACTATAAACAAAAAAATCTACTCCGAAGGAGGCTACAATGCGATATTGTCAAACAAATAAAGAAATATAATATTTAAAAAATCAACAATGAATTACTTCAATGAAATGAATTTACTTCACTACAAATAAATTTTATAGAACTGTCCCAAAGATGTTATAATAAATATGTTGAGACTGTCCAAAAACATACAGGCAAAACTGCCAATAAGAGCCTAGATATTAAGAAACGTTACAAAAATGAAATAAGAACATGTACAACGGATATTAATAAGATAGCCAATTAAAAATACTAGAAATAAGACAATAAAACCACATATAAGAGTACAAAAGATAGGATAAACGTTAAACTACACAGTTGAAGGATGAATTAGTAAATTAAAAGACAATACTTGAGAACATACCCAAATACTATCGTATACTGTATTTTCATTCTATGTTAAGAATTTGATTGCACTCTTTAAGGTACATGACACACCACAGAGTATTCTTAAGATAAATCCAACAAAGTATGTGCAGGATTTGTAGGTTGAAAACCACAAAACTTTGATAAGAAAAATCAAGGACCCAAATAACTGAAAAGATGTGTCATAATAATGCCTTGGAAGACTCAACATTAATTCTCTCCAAACTGATATACATTCAATGCAATTTAATTGAGAAAGTAATTCTAAAATTCATATAAAAAAGTAAAGGACCTAGAATAGTTAAAAAAAAAATGAGGAAAGCTAGAGGAATCACACTACAAATTCCAAGACTTTCTATGACGCTACAGTAATCAAGGCATTGTAGTACCGGCGTAAGGATAGATAAATGTAACAGAACAGAGTTCAAAACTAGACCCAATATATCTGACTTAACTCTTCACTTGATTTTTAAAAAGTCACTTTTCTTAATATTTAATTGTAGTTAAAGTAAACATAATAAAGCAAAATAAAATGCAATTTTTAAATGTTCTCAAATAATGTTTCACCCAGTAATTCTATTTGTCCTACAAATGCACTCTCACAAGTACAATAGAGTATATGTATACACATTCACACATACACACAAGGTTGAGCAAAAGTAGGTTTACAGTTGTCCAGATGGAAAATAATACAACAGTTAATAAACAGTAATACAAGAATAAACTGCTTTGTGTACTCAAAACTGTAAACTTACTTTTGTCCTACCCTGTATTAAAATATGTCAAATCAAGTAAGTTATATTCACATGTACTAAATGGAAAGATGTACAAGATATATTAAGCAAAACAAACAAGTTGCAGACAATTTTTTTATGTCTGTATATACATAATTACTTTTAAAAAGAATAAAAAACACAATACTCATCTGAATGATCTATGAGCACCTATTTCATGATAATTTTTAAAAAATCATAAATCCTTATAAAGTCAGAAAAAATGATATAAAATAAAGTTATTTTGGATAGTGTCTAAAAACAAATTTCTAAAGCACCTAATATCTTTTAAAAAATTCCTAACTCTACAAGGCACCCATGTCTCTGAAAGTTTTCAGGGATTTTTGTTGTTGTTGTTCTTCAGACTTTGAGAAAACAGCATTTGTCAAGCAAATGAAACACGCAATATAATCACTGTATTTTTTATTACATTTTATAATGGCACATTATGGTCAGTGAAATAAGTCAGTCACAGAAAGACAAATACTGCATGATTCCACTTATATGAGGAATCTAAAATAGTCAAATCCACGGAATCAAAGAGTGGAACGGTGGTTGTGAGGGGCTGGAGAGAGGTGAAAATGAGTAGTTGCTAATCAATGGGCATAAAGTTTCAGTCAAGCAAGATGAATAAGCTCTAGCCCTGGCCGGGTAGCTCAATTAGTTAGAGCATCACCCTGATACACCAAGATTATGGGTTCGATCCTGAGTCAGGGCATGTACAAGAATCAACCAATGAATGCCTAGATGAGTGGAACAACAAACTGATGTCTGTCTGTCTGTCTGTCTGTTTCTCTCTCATTTTCTATGTATCTCTCTCTCTCAATCTCTTCCTCTCTTTCTATAAGGGATCAATCAATAAATTTTGTTTTAAAAAGATGAATAAGTTCTAGAGATCTGTGGTACAACATGGTACCTATAGTCAACAATAATACATTATACACTTAAAAATATCTAAGAGGGTAGAGCTCATGCTGTATTCTTTCCACAATAGATTTTTTTAAAAAGAAGAAATTAACATTGACACAATACTGTGAGATAAAACATAATAAAACACAATATAATGCCATGGCACAGATAACAAACTTAAATTAAAATGAAATAGTAAAAGTTGTAGATATACAAATATGCCAGTTCATATTTAAAGAATTTTGTTTCTACATATTTTAGTTAATTGTGGACTGAGTAGTTTATGAGCTCCACGATAAGGTCCATTTTTAATACACTATAGGTTGGGCACCTGGATTGTAGCATGTACTGACAACAAAGGAAACCCTTCATTTTCTAGATGAAGGAACAAATAAGTACACTAAAGTTAAGTCAGGACCTTTATGGCATTTGCTTATTTTCAGGCACTCAAAGATTTTGTTTTTAAACATACTGGAATATCTTGAGAAATTCAGTTAAACTCCATCTGCCTCGAAGCTCATCTTTTAAAAGAAAGAAACTAGGTTAGATGATCTATTACAGCTCCTTGTAGATTTTACAATTCTATACTTTTCTTACCTTGTTGTAGTACCTCATGGGCTCCTGACAGACCTCTATTTGCATCACTGTGAAATGAGGTCAGCTGCTCAACTTCTATGAATGTCAGTTTCCTTACAGATAAAATTGGGATAAATAATCACCTCTCCAGAGTGTTACGAGATGTAATTTTCATAAAGCACAGAGCTGTAACTAATGTTAATTCTTTCTCTTGGTAGTCTCAGTAAAATAGCAATGTTACAGTAAGAGTGGAATTACTCATATTAAGTATAAACACAATAGTATTTTGCAACTTATGATTATTTATATTAAGAATGTAGGTGCACCCACTTCTGACAAAGCTGATTGAAAAGAGCTTTAGGAGAAAGTGGTCCTTTTTCGGTTTCCTTCATGTTGTGAAGAAACAGGATCAAGGCTGACGTCAATGGTCCAGGGCTTGAAAGTTCTACCACTAATGGATCCTTTAAAAACATGATCAACTCCATGTCAGAAATATGTAATTTATTATTTAAAATCCAAATTAAATCCAGTATATTTTATTTAAATGACAACTAAATTGCTTCAACTATATTAAGAAATTTTATTCTCCCATTTATAAAATATATAAAAATAAAAAATGGAATTATCTTGAAAAACACAGGTATTATCATAATCTTTACTTAATAAAACTATTAGCTTAAGAATGAAATCACCAATCTTTAGTTGCTTGTAACTGTCCCTTAATGTGCTCTCCTAGAAGTAAAATTATCCATCTACTTGATATTTGTACCCCTTTAAAAATGATCATAAATTATATTTATTAGCAAAACTTCAGACCCTTTTTTTCCCCAAATACTTTACTATGAAATAGGAAATGGGAAATTATCTCACCAAATTGGTAAACCATCTCTCTCATTGAAAGGAAACAGGCAAAAGCTTGACAAAAGTAGCTTAAATTGTGTGAAGAATCTACATACTTTATTTTCGAATTTTTTCCTACCAAGTTTTTTTCTAAAATATTAAATTTCACCAGCAACCTCCCTTTCCTTATGGACAATGAATAAAAAGCAGATTCCAAATATAATCCTCAAATATTTTAGTATGTTATCTTCTAGGAAAATGATCAAATATGCTGTCTCTTTCATGTATTCCTGAAATACATGTTACATGTATATTTCACACCAACTATCCTTAAAAATCTACTATCTGGCTAAAACCATGGAGAGAACAGGTTATGATTTTCCATAGCTTTTGCATATCAAAAGTACTTTCTGCCATGTTAAGTATATTGAAAGTTACCTCAAGGGCCAAACATAAAATCTAAGTCAGTTTCAAAGCCCAAACACTAAGGTATAGTACACTGCACTCCCAAATAAAGTATATTTAGACAAAGTAAAACATTTTTCGAATAAGTCAGTAAATAACTTCAGTTTTAAAGGCACAGTTTAATTTTGAAAACAAAACTAAGTTTGCTGACGAGAATGCAATGATGCAATAATGAATCTCACAAACATGTTGACAGAAAGAAGCCTAATGCAAAACAATACTGGTTAGTAAAAAGTGTTGGTTAGTTTCAGTTCAGTGTATTCACTTTGTGAAAATCTATCATCTATACAATTATGATGTATATTTCTCTATGTTTTAGTTTAATAAGTTTTTCTAAAGTAAGCACACTGCTGAGATGCATACAAATATTAACAAGTTAAATCCAGCACTATATAAAAATAATAATACATCATAACTAAGTGGGGTTTGTCCTAGGAATGAATACTAGGTAGGTTTGGAAATCAGTCAATGTAATTTTCCACATTAACATAAAGAAGAAAGACTATATGATAACCTCAGCAGATGCAGAAAAAGCGTCAGACAAAATTCAACATCTATCCATGATAAAACTCTCAGAAAACTAGGAAGAGAAGGGAATGTCCTCAACCTTCTGAAGAACACCTATGAAAAACCTACAGTTTACTTCATTCTTGATAATAGGAAAAACTGAATGAATGTTTCTGCCCGAATTTGGGGATTAAGGCAAAGATGTCTGCTCTCACCACTTCATTCAACACATAACTAACTGCTGGTTCAAGCCAGCACAATATGGTGAAAAAAAGAGAAACAAAAAGCATACGGATTGCAAAGGACAAAGTAAAATTGGTTATTGAAAAAGTAGTGATCTACACTGACAGTCCATAACTCAGGTCAACTCTATGTCCTAAAAAAACCTAAGACTGATCAGCTCTAATATCTAATTGCCATACAGTAATCTGGAGACATAGATCCAAATGTGAATAGTCAAATTTAACATTCAATCTCATTTCATAGGAAACCTTTTCAAATGTCTAAGCATTAACTTCCACTTGGTAAAATAGTCTTCACTATCTCACATCATTTTAGAAAAGGACATTGGGATCTACCATAAAAATTTTAAGGGGCTGAACAGGCAATGACTTTATAGTCTTTTTTTCAGTAACAAAAAAAATACAATATTGTCTCTTAAACTGCCTTCTTAGGAAAAAAATCTAAGATTACCACATTGGGCTAAGAAGCTTTAGAACTCTTTTCTGTTAAGTGTTTTTGAAAGCCAGATTGTGAACTATACATGCACTCTTCCTTGCTCTAAAACACAAATCAATTTCTAACTAAAATCACTATTACTAGTGTCAATGCTCTCCAGCCAAAGACCACCAGGAACACACTTGCAGTTGAACACGGTGGGATTACTATTGCACTTGTTGCACTGAGAGAGAACACAGACCACGGGGTGTCTCAATAAGAGGGTATTGGAAAGAATTGGGTAATTCAGTGGGGAGTCTAAGCTTGGATACTGTCAGAAAGTAAGGGTAATTTTATAATTAGGTATCTCAATAAATCTTATCTGTGGGCAGGGGGAGGAGAGAATCAGGATAAAGCTATATATAACTGGTAAAGAAACAGCACTCGATCATTTTGGCCAAGAGAAAGGATGTTGGGGATTTTCGAAGTGGTACAGTAACCCGCTTTTTGTGTGTGTTTAGATAAAATCATGAAAGAGGGCTTGCTTTGTCTCATTTTATCAGATTTAGAGTAACTTAGCCTGGGTTGGTATTCTGAGAGATTGTTTGAATAGCATGGCCTAACTGTGGGTACCTGGCCAGCTTCTGAATGTCAGATGCTGGTTTTCCTTTTTCTCCTCATTAACCTAATCTATGACCAGATTATTCTTCAGAAAAACCTTTAGATGCTCAATATTAAAATCAAATCTATCTTTAAAGAACAAAAATGCCATATTTAAGCAAATGCTAACTACAAAACAGGAGTCTTAGTTTTGCTCAACAAAAGTCAAACTCTTCTTGTAATTTCTGGTATGTCTGTTTGAAAGCTATCTCAATATCTTTGTATTGTTTGACCCATACGTTTAAGAAATATCTTAAAGTTATGATTTTAGAAGTTTTAAATCTGATTGTTAATTTTCACAAAATACTATTGAATTATTTTCTCAAATCCTCTGACTACCACCTCAACTGATAGTTCTAAGAAACAGGAAAGACAGATTTCAGCAATATCAGTGGCTCATCTTACCAGCTGAGCGTCTGATGAAGGAAAAATCTTGAGTTCTGTACCATTTTCTTTGATCTCATTCAATAGTTCATTAAGAATGTAAGACTGTGCCAAGTTCTAAAAGAAAACAAAAGTAAAGTCTGCCGAGTAGGGTATACTATGCCCCTGATTTTATGGAATAAGTTACTCTCCCAAAGTTTCAAATTTTGCCTAACATAGCAAAATATTTTTAAGTTAAAAAATTCAATTGAATATATTTTACATTTAATAAATGTCACTATTACTGACAGAGCCATGATAGAGGGAAGACATTTAAGAAGCACTGTAGAAAAAGTTTTATATATGTGTATGACAATGACTAAAAAGAGCCTAAAACAAACAAAAAGAAAACAAATTTCTAGATGAACATTTAGGAGTCATTTGAGAGTTTACAGGTATGCAAACAAAATAAATTAATTAAAATTATCCCTTGCATTTTATAAAGCTTTCTGATGGCTCTTACCTGCATAACTGCATTAAAAAAACAAGTATTTCCTAAATTTGTAATTCCTTTTACAGATGTTACACAGCTGCCTTTTCTTCCCTTCTTTTTTTCACCTGTTTCACATTTTTCTTCACAAAGTTTTATAATTTTGGAAAATGTACCTAAGTTAGAAAAAAAATAACTGACATGAAATGTAAAATTAAATATATATCATTTGATATAATTTAAATAAATTTTTTGAAATTAAGATGTTTCTCCTGAATCAGTATTCCTGAAGGGCAGGAACACAAACACAAATGTCTTGAGTTTTGTATCGTACTGGTAAAGCAATTAATTTTAATTCATTTTAATATACATATTTGTACCCCACACCACAATGCAGAATAAATTCCAGATGAATTAAAAAATTAAATGTAAAAGAGTAAATTAAAAAGACAAGTACAAAAGATCCAGAACATGATTCCTAAATACCATTCCCTACTAAAAGGGATGTAGACTCCTTGAATAAGAAGCTGATTCTTAACCTGGGGCAGCAAAGAGGCAAAATGAGCCTATAACATGATTATTGTGCCAGAAAATAAGGTAGTGCTCAAAGAAAAGTGATGAGTATACCAAAATACACAAGAGCCATTTTAATAGGTTCCCACTGGTCCAACATGGGGCAATTTGAATATCAAAATAAAGAAGGTCACTAATAGATTATCATTCACTAAACAAAATGAAAGTGATACTGAGTTGAAAATTTAAAAAAAAGCAAATCATGGTATAGTGGCAATTTTTTAATATTATTCTTGCAACATTTCTGCATTTGAAATTGTCAGACAAAAAGTTAAAAAATTAACAACTATACTACAAAAGGTAAAATACCTAAGCATACAGTATGTAAGTGCATGTTTTGTGCTCACTAACTTGTATAATTAATGCAAATTTGCAAATTATAGTATCATATTTAATAAAAGTATGAAAATAAAGAACAATTCCTAGCACTTATGAACTAACATGACTAATTATAACTATTTAACAGATTACTTTCTGAATCATTATTATTTGAAGGCTGACAGGAAATTTCTAAGTTCTCAAATTTTTTGGTTTTAACTAAATGTTCTCTTAAATTCAGTTCCTTTCAACCCCAGATAATGTATTTCTTTAGAATTATATTACATAATTTGTTCATTTAATACCGACATGGCTTCCTCGTACTGCTAATTAACTTCTAAATGTTTGGCAGTTTGCCCCTCCAATCAGATTAATGGAGATTAGGGAATGTCTCCTATGACTGTTCTTTCTTCCATAGAGGTATGACGTTGGGGAGAACATACATTATAAAAGTTCAGTACAAATGAAAACCTACGAGATTAAACAGTAAATACAGTAGACTTACAGACTTAATAGCCTTCCATGTCTCTGATGAGCACTTAAGAAGAAATAAGACATCCTGTCCCCACCCTGCCTTCTCTACAAAAATATTAAGGGAGGTAAACAGGGACGGAGGTGGCTCTGGTCTCAGGACAGGAGCAAGAAACACACACCATGAAGAAGAGCTTTAGTCTTGGGTACTGGCAGACGGATGTCAGTCACATGCTATTGGTTCAAAGAAAGGTTGACTTGGCATCTTTGAATTTCACCTCTCGTCCCAAAGGCATCTAGAGATGGGGCTCCAGTGTCAATTAAGTGAGATTACTAACATTTTCTCATAGACTTTCATAAGGATTAAATGAGCGGCTATTTGCAAAGTACCTGGCATGGTAAGCACTATGGATGTGAAAAACTGTCCAGAGAGCCTGTCAGAAATTTTTATTTGCGTCAGAATCCGTATCTTCATGAACTAGCCTTCATGTCCATTGTTTATCTGCTCTTTCTTTTCTCTTTAATCATTTTCTGTACTGAGCTTTTTTTCTCAAGTTTATTTCTTATTCCTAATTGGATTTTCTGAATTGCTAATGTGAGTTTTGCCTTTTATAGTGACTTTATGATTCTCATAATTTCTTGGCTTTTCTTTTTAACGTGAAACTATCTTATCTCATTGAGAAAAATGAGTGGGTGATTTCTAAAATGTTTCTATCATTCACCAAACTGATTGCAAGGAAAAAGTTTTTCTTTCAAGTCTTAACTTTTCTTTTATCCTAAGATACAATATTTTATCATAAGCCCTATTACCTGCTTTGCCCCTTTACTCCTGTTTGCTTATTCTTTAAATATTATGGGTGGTTATTGTATGCCTGTTTTCCACATATTGAAGAGTTGTTTTTAACTCCTTACTCTAGAATTCCAAGTTAGCATAGTGAAGTACAAGAGAGATCTCTTCCCTGTCTTCCAGATATTACAATAGGTGACAAGAATTAAACTCCATACAAGAGTTTTGGAGCAAAGGCTAGTACAATGAATGGAGATGGCCACTGAAGTGCAGAGACCTGGCATGGAGAGAAGGGAAAACAAGATAAAACCAGAGAGTGTTCAAATCTGCAAGTGAATGTACGAGCAAGTGAGGGGGAAAAAAAACGGTCAGTGCTTAAAAAACACTACACAAACAAGAAGCCCCCTAGTGATCCTGCCTGGGGTTGTAAATGAGAGCGGTCCACCTCTTCACTATTATATCTGAGATTGCAACCGAAGGCTAGAATTGGCAGGTTTCACTACAGCCATAGCCACTACATGGTTTCATAGTGATTTGGAAGAGATGTATGATGAAAGAGTAATTAAATCAATGCATTACTCTGCCTTTTGGCACAAGGTTGCTACTCTGATTTACATTTACAAAACTCAATTCTCCAACAGGTTAAGTGATTTGCTGAAGGTCATAATGATAACCTTTTAATTATAAAGCCATTGTTATTTTACCACCTAATTTCTTTTCAATGATTTATGTACAATGAGAAGAATCATGAAAGAAAATATGGCAAGATTCTTACAGATTTGGGTATATGCAACCCTGAACAAATATGACTCTTCAAAAATATTTCCTTTAGTTAACATTCTTATTAATTGTTGCCATGACATTTTTTAGCTTATTAACATAAAAACAGGGAGAACTAAACTATATGGATTATATTATCTACCAATAAATATATTACATATACTATATACATTTATTATTCATTTGGGAAATACTTCCAGAAATAAATATTTTAATCGTATAGAACAAACAGCATTTTAAAACGATAACATGTAAATGATTTATTTATCTCTGTACCACATTTCCCATCAGTTTTCAAAACATCTGGGATAGCATCCTAAAGTAAACAATGTTCATAAGACCATCTGGACAAAACTTCAGGCAAGAAAAAAAAAGCATAAACATATGGAAAAACAGATTTTACCCTTCCCTTCAGCAGTAAGGGATGACAAATGTCAAACCTCGATATATCCACGCTTCACTGTGCGATGCTTTTCAGCACCACCTGGCTCTCCACACAGAGCCACCAAATATGGACGGCACTGCCAGAAAGAACATATCCACGGGCAATAGCAATAAAAATAGTTTATTTCATGGTTAAATAGCCACTTCACACAAGTGGCAAGGATCTTTTTGTTGACTTTTCGATGTAAGTCTGTGAGAACAGATTCAAAATTAATTATGCTATTGGGCCGGAATGTTAAATAAATTAGATAATTTAACAAGAAAATAAAATGACATTTTCTAAGAGCTATTTAAATTGGTTTTATTTAAAATACAAGTTTTTCATTTTACTGAATAGCCCTTTCATAAAATGCAGCAATTTAAATTCAATTGATTTATCAAATGTCCACTGAACCACTACCTATAATACTCAACTACTTATGATTTATAACTATAGTATAAGGAATTGATATAGTGAACAGCATGGATATATTAAGTCTTAAATTCATGATAATATCTTATTAAAACTTTAAAAACCAAGCATACATGTACATTTGCTCACTAAGAAACTGTCAAATGAAGTTTAAGATTCTAGATTAAAACAAGGGTATCTCAGAATCAGTCTCTCAATTATTTGACACACAGGTATATGTTCTAATAAGAAGCAGTTTATTGCTTCTGCTAAAGAATAATTACTGATCATTTTATTTTTGATAATAAAATAAATTCTCATTCTGGCAGTGATTTTAGATCTTATTCACTTTAAGAACCAAATGCACCAAGTGCTACAGTTCAAAATGTTTTGAAATATGGTATAATTAAAAGGACAAAGTTGATACAGCAGTAACAAAAAAGACAAATTATACAAAATTCTGATTATCATTTGTTTTGTTCTCAAGTTTTACCTGAACCCATGAAATGTCTATAATTAGAAAGAATTTCAGTGTTAGATTATTTTACTAAAAGGGATTTACTCTGTCTTACTTTATATTATAGTAAGTAATTTATAGTAAGTAATATATATTATATCTGATTTATCATCAGATATTGCATTTATGTAATTAAGTAACAGACACAAGAAGGTAGAGAATATTGAGAGAAAAATTCAGGTGTTCTAGATAAAACTTTTAAAGCTCTTCTATATCTCCGTAGTTTGCCTTTAATCCTATAATCTGCATACTCGAAGAGCTGCTGATTAAATTGAGGAAACTGATAAGATTTTGCACAGACTCGGGTCTTGCAAGACAGAAAACTGGTTTAAGCACCAGCAAAGCACAAAAAAATAATAATAAAATAAAAAGTAAAAAATAAAAAATAAAAAAATAAATGGATGGACCTGGCAACAATGACATTAAGAACTTCATTATTACTCTAAAATCCCTCAAAACTATAACCAAGTTAAATATGAAAAAGTGAGGATTCCTGTCAACTATACCCTTTGTGTAATCTTTCTGGAGGGTAGTTTAACAACAATAATTAAAATCTAAGATGTGTTTATAAATTGGCCAGAAGTTCCCCCTAGAATTTAACCTGCAGAAATAAAAGAGCAAATACATGTACACACATCTTTTCCTATCATGGGAGAAAATTGAAAAAACCAATAATGTATTTGTTGCCAAGTAACATTAAATGTCTATTTTCTCAAAGATATAAATATCTGTAAATTACTTTGGTTAAATCAGAAGGGGAACAATGGTGCTTCCCCGGTTTCCCATAGGCATGGGGAAGGTAAACATATTTGAACTTTGCTTATTTAAAGAAAGAGATTGAGAGCATGATCTCCTCTGATAATTGTCTCCATTGCAAAGAGATGATGAAATCAGC